TCATGATGAAATCACACAAAAACACAAACGATACCAGAAACATTCAAACTATAAACCGGTTACATTATCGACGGGGATACCAGGTAAATCGTGTTCTTGTTGTGCAGGAGACAGTGAAAAACAAACAAAAATTCTGTATTCCACCCTCTTTCTTGACATTGAAGATTATTCCTTCTCTTCTGCCTACATTCAACCTGCGACCCTCATGTAAGAAAAATTACAACCCATTAGGGGCCATACAGCATTCAGATAATTCTTAAGATCTACCATCACAATAACTAATAATTTGTGATTGATGTTCAACAAATAATAATAATAACGGATAGCATCCTGAGTGGCACACTATTTATTTCTTTTTATCATCCCACTTTCACAAAAATATCACATATCCACGACGTAAAATACTGATAGGGCAATCGATTGTTCACAAAATGTTTTAATACTATCGTCTTTTCCCTGTTATCCAATTTTTTAAAGAATAATTTGTTGCACTAAAAATATACACAAAACCAGTAAGATTACAATAGTAAAATGATCAGTTTTAAGCTATAGATTAAGATTGTTGGAGGGAAGGATGTTTATCATAGCCGTCATATTTAGACGAACGTGTATGTTAGATTGCACATTACGCAAAATAATGAAGTTCAATTTATATTGTGTATATATATAGTATTGTGCTATGTATAAATAGCTACGTCAAGCAGATAACACACACATAGAAAATAGTTTGATTTCACAAAAGAAAATTTATTCTATTTTTTAAAGGAGGAGGTTTATTTGTTTTGAATTTCGCGCAAAGCTACACGAGGGTTATCTGCGCTAGCCGTCCCTAATTTAGCAGTGTACGACTAGAGGGAAGGCAGCTAGTCATCACCATCCACCGCTAACTCTTGGGCTACTCTTTTACCAACGAATAGTGGGATTGACCGTCACATTATAACGCCCCCACGGCTGAAAGGGCGAACATGCTTGCTGGGATTCGAACCCGCGATTCTCAGATTGCGAGTCGAGCGCCCTAACCACCTGGCCATGCCGGGCCAAGGAGGAGGTTAAAAAATGTATTATTGAATACAATGAAAATGAAAGAAACTTTTTAGAAACAGAATTTGCTCGTCAGATTATCAATTTGTAAGATGTAAATAAATATTTTATAAAACCACCAAATTTTCATCTTTATGTAGATTTTTGTAACGTTCTCCCTGGGACTGTTAAAAAGATATATTGAAACTTGTAAAGGAACTGTTTTGAAAACTAGTAATGATTAAAGACATGAACTTAAAATTTGAAGGATTAATAGTAATACCTAATCATTAACAACATTCTACTTCTTCAAAAACAGTATGAAGTAGAAGAAGAATGTGTTATGACTATATGTTGACCTGCTTCAAAAGTGAAGACTACTGTCGTTAGAAGACTCGTGAACATTTCAGGAAATAAATGTCTGAAAGACTATTTAAGTAGGTATCAGAAAAGAAAGTATCAGAATTTAGACAATTTTGAAGAACAAAGTGAAATTGATCTTCCTTGCTAACAATGAACATAATCGTTCAGATGTTGTTGCTATTTCTAAAAATGTGGATAAATTATGTCCTATCGGTAACATGATTTATTCTCAGAATATAATATTTAAGTTAATAACGGATCTTATATATTAAATATTACACAGGTCTGCGATGGTTTTATTGCCTTGAAATTTTTGTATATGTTCGACAGTAATTCCTGCACGCTGAATCCGAACCATTTTTCTTCATCACGTACAGATTTTTCACAAAACGTGATAACACAATACATAAAAGAAAGACCACAACACGTAGGTTTGAGATATAATGACGTAGATTTCACACAAAAAAAAATCAACATGAATGAGGATGCATATTCGTTTAACATCAATATTCTTTTATTTTCTTCAGTTTGTTTGTATGCTTGTTAAGAAATATAATCACAAAACATTTTCATTGTGGTAAACAAAATAATAACTTGATCTAACTAAGAGTTACTTTTTCTTCCCGATTTGTAAAACATCCTTACGTGATAGAAAAAAATTAATATTATTTTCGAAATCTGCGTAGCTGAAGTATGAAAAATTCTTTATAAAATTCAAAACAACTTTTATGAAGTTTAAATTCGCAGGCCTGTTTTATTAGACGTTTTTGTTGTAATTCGATGCATTAATATTTTACTTGCGCTGTTTTGGTTCTGTTTATATGAGTAAACTAGTAAAAATAAAAGAGCGTCAGTAATCAGTATTTTATAAATAAAAAAGTGGGTCTTAAATACTTCTTCGCTCCCAGTATTTATGAAGAGTTTTCATTAAGAATATCAACTTTTTATATATTAAAATCCACAAACGAAGAACTTGAATTTTAACCTTTTAATATTAAGATCAACTTTCATTATTTTGAGTTGGTTCTTGAGTTTATATTTGAACTTGAATGTTATTCTAGTTCTTCTTATATTAATAATTAACTTTAAATTTTATGTGTTTGACATTTTATGATATGTATTAATAAATATTTTATTGTGATAATTATTAATAATAATTTCTCTGTAACGGTTGAAAAGAGGCTTTGTCTTGTTTACAGAGAAGATTCGGGCAGAGTAGGCTTGTTTGGATTGGAAGTTTTTATGGTATGGACTACGTTTATAGGAAATATAGGATTGGACAACGAATATCAATAGTGTCATTGAACTTTTAGGTTTTTAAAAGCAAACCTGAGTGGTCAACTTTAGTCACTGTTGACCATTCTTTCCACTTCTACCTTGGAATTTCAATTGGCTTAAATGACGGAAGTTTGAGATTAAAATGACAGCAAAATGTAACATAAATTAAAGAATATGTAGCATACACATACACATACATTAACAAACCAAACAACAAAGGTGATGACCACTAGATTTGTGTTATGCTGTATTGTATCTATCAATCATATAAGCTGTATTTTACGTTCTCGCTGGAGTTGGCTACGCCTAAACTATAGTGTTTTAACCCATTTTTCAAATAAAGTGGCGTACATGTTAAAAAATACCAATACCTTAAACTTCAACAGCTTGGACTTTTTACATCTCTTGTAATAGTGTGATAATAAAATTTACTTATTTAGCTGTTTTTGGTAAATTTAATTGTATAACGTTTGTAAGTGATCTTCAAGTATTTGTAGAAATATCAGCACTTTTATTAAAAATATTTAATCAAATAATTCTATGAACCCGTGAGTAAAAACAAAAGAGAGTGTATGATAATATATGAACAACACTACCTCTGCCATATTCAGTGCCGGCGTGGTTTTTTGCAAGTAATAGGGCTCATCAGGCTGTATAGGATGCGACAGACATTGTAATGGCTTAGGCGCTATGTATATATCCATAACAATGAATACAGAAGCAAAGAAGTAAAATGATTGGAAGAATTACAAAAATGTGTTCGTAGAGGGAATAAAATGTAATCAGATTTTAATAAACTATCTTTAAAAACTTTGAGTTTATGTATTAAAAGTAAAAAAATAAGAACACTCCTGAGTTTATATGTAGACTTTTTTAAAAAAATACAACCAATGCTTGAATTCATATACAGCATTTAAAACATTAAAACGCCGTTGATTTATGCAGGTGAAAATGGTAGATATAGGTTGTAAAAGACTATTTTTACATTTTAAGGAAAAGTTTCCAATCGTACAATTTTTTCAGCATTGCCTTAAAAATATAAACACATTTTTACTCGTTTTTTTTTTTCGGAACATTTTCTTCACATATTTTTTCATAGACTCAAGAGTGCCACCAAAACGTTCCTCCAGTGACTCAGCGTTAAATATAAGGGCTTATAGCATTAAAAAATGGGGTATCGAACCCGCGGTGGGCAAAGGAAAAAACCGTTGTGCAGCTTGTACTTAACAACAAACGAGCAAAACGTATAGTCAATAATTCATCCTAATGTATTGTAACCGGCTGTATTTGTTGGTTTATGAAAAACTACACATCCAAACAACTTCTTAATTAGTAGACAAAAATAACGTCAATAGTCGTAATTAATGTTTTTCACATTTTTACTCAGACAGACTAACAACAGAAACTAGGTTTGGAAACCCTTATCACTAAAAGTACTCCTCATTGGTAGACCGTTATAGGAACACCTTAAACATAAGTTAACTTTCAAAACAGTTGTAAGTTCTGTTCAGTAACTATAAGACGTGACATACTGTCGTTTTCGCGCGTTTCTGCGGTCAAAACCTATAAAATATAGGAACCAGTAACGATTAATATCAGTTTTCTTCGAAGAAGATTAGTGTGAAAGTATTTTAAATTATGTCTTTACAAATTGTAATTGTTAACGTATCAACAACATCATTATTAAAAGTACGCTTCCCTCACAGTTTGTTTATTTATAGCAAACTTATTAAAGCTAACTGCCGTCTTTTCTAATTTTACAATATCGACCACTGGGAAGGCATCCAGCCGGCAGAACCCACCGCTAAATTTTGAGCTGCTCTTTACCAGTGAATGGTGGGATTGACTCTCTCATAATAATGCTCCCTCGGGTAATAGCACAGAGATGTTTAGAAATAAATAGGCGTATTGGAATACAAAATTAATGACCGTAGCAAGTGATGTCAACTTACGAAGTTTGCATGGCCGATCCTGAATTAACTCAATACACAGTAAGATTTGACGATATCGTTCTAAAAAAATGTATTTTTTCATGAAAACATTAGGTTTAGATGTTTCCTAGCATATGGTTTCAGTGTATGGCTTTAAGATGCTCAAAGAATATGAATTATGTACACAAATTTAACAATCGCGTCCAAGAGTATACTTTTGTGGATATACATATACATTGTTTGGGAAAGATTAAGATATAAAATGAATTAAGTTGTGAATATGTATGTATATGAATTTATTTTATTTTTATTATTATTATACACTTTCTTCCTAAAGTTACTTAAACTCCTGCTGCTAGATGTATATTTAAGATAACTAGTTTTCCAAGAGATGGTAACATTACCTACCTTGTATAGTCTGCTCTACAATACACACTATCTTCCTTAATAAAACAAGATGGTTGACGGTCCAGCATGGCTTGACAAACACAGCACCTGAGGCATCGGGCATGCCATGACTGACCATTGACCTTCAGTAGAAAGCGATCGGTGATGAGTTGGTCACAAGCACAGCAGTATTCTTGCTCTGTCTAAAAGTAAAAATATCAGCTCATTATTAAAACAGAATTCACAGGAGAAGTAAACTTTCGTTTCATTAACATGCAATACAGTTCACAAAGACAAAATGTTCATAAAACGTCACATTTCCTTATTATTTGACCATTATATTTCATGCAACCAATTTGTGGGTAAAACACAAAGATATACTAAGACGTATCTGTAGTTACAATACTCTAAAATCTTTCTTTCTTCAAAGAACAGACTGTTACACATCAGTAATAAAAACGTATATTGTATACAGTAATATCAGAAGAGAGATAATATATATAGATATATGTACAAGTATAGTAACAAAAAACTTTAATTTTGTAAAGACAAGTAGGGATCGATATATACGTCACCTAGCTAGTTACGGTATTAGAGAAAGTTTTAATGCCAGAAAAAGTATTGAAACTAGAAAGTCAAAACTATAAAGACTGGGTTACTTAAAATGTAAAAATTAAAAAAATATCCCTGATGTGACAAATCGCTGTAATTGTATTAGTTTGAATAGATGAAAAACATGTCGACTACACTAGGGTCAATTTTGTGAATAAGGAATTAGAAAGAACCGATCCATTAGTCGTCCGATTTTACAGCCAAGGTTCACAGTGAATGAATGCCACAGCTGCATTATAATTTATTGCACGTTATGAAAGGGCATTTGTACTGCAATGCTCATTACATGTTCTAAAATAATTTTGATCTTTATGAACTTTTTGTACTTTCCATTTCTATAAGTGAATTATCGGAATCGTGGAAATGTCAAATTATTCGTTACAATATGATCAAAACAGTTTTTCATAACCTTAAATTGATATTAAAATCTTGACTTATTCCCTCTGGAAATAAACAAACAAATGCGTCAAATATTTGAAAGTGAAATGTAATTCACATTCATATTAACTCTATTTAATAGTTTATATGTGGTGTGTACTTTTTTAATAGAAAAGTTAGTTTTTGAGACGAATAATACAATATAATTTAAAATAACTCCACACACACACAATATATATATATATATCACTCATTATTATTTCAATGAACAGAACCTCTCAATAATCAGGGCTAGAAGTCACAGCATAACATGATATATAAAACAAGTTTATATTGGTTATGCTTTCATAACTACGTGAATCTCCACTGATTTTTGGGTCGGGCATGACGTATTGTTGTTGGGTTACGGATCAGGAAATCTAAGACGATTCCCGTTGAGAACTTTTAACATTTTCAGTGAGACAGTCAATTCCGTTACTTGGACCAAAGATGAACAAAGACCTTGACAGATAACTAACTTCCATCTCTGCTCTATAGGGACGGATTTACATGAATCCTGTGGTTGCTTTTTTATTTCTCTCTTACAAGAGCATATCAGTGATTCTATGCAGTATTTGAATAACAAATGTTCAAACGTTGAACTCCTACTGTATATGAGGATCATTCTAGTTCATCTTTCTTCTTGCGTTTGTGTTCACTCATCAGCACAATCTCAAAAATCGATGTTTATCATAGACCAATATTTAGCTCTAGAACTTATATTTAAAACGGGCTGAAGTTCTGACTAACAAGACTTACAAAAGGATAACTAAATTTTGTATCACGAGATCTAAAATTGGATGTTTTGAAATGAAATAAAGCTTGTAAGGAGTTCAATAATATAACTCGGTGCTCCGGCCTAAAGCTACGCTCACCATCTTAAGGAGACATTTTCTCTTTATGGAAAGAAAAACAGTTAACAACTCCCATAGACATAGAACATCCGCACGCAGAACCTGGCAAATAATTTTAACTTGTTTTTAGGACTAAGAATACTTTTCACTTTAAAAGGGATGCTTCCAAAGATATACAATCCGTACATACTTCAGAAGTTCCATCATTTTTGCTGAGTAAACCAATACGTTAGATCCTTAAAAAACAAAACAAAAAAAAAAAAACCTGATGGTGCCTTGACAAAACCTTTAACCAAGCTCGCGGTGTGATAGCTGAATGTAATGTATCGGTGCATGGAACAGTTTATATAGCTATAGAGTTGAGGATGGGATCTAGTTAAGGAGTTTTATCATTTTGATTCTGAAGTTAATTTTAAACCATTTTAATTCACCTTATCCTTTTCTTTAAGATTGTGAGCACTTTTCATCTGTCATAGGATGCCTCCTTAAGTCTTATTTTTTACTAGTTTTTGAATGACAAATCAAATAAATATTCATGTTCTGTACAAGATATTTTCTGTGCTCTCTTTCATTATGCACACTTAGTATCTTCCTGAAAGATTATTTTTTTAGCACGTATACTTATAACTATTTATTGCATATATTCTTTTGTTTCGAAAGTGCTGTAATGGCGGTATGTAAAGTTCTAAAGTTTAACTCATAGCTTATAAAATCATAGCTAGAATTATTCAGAAAAAAAATCACTTATTGTTGAACCACGTAATTTATTTGTAGTACCTGAAAGTCTATGACTAAATTTGCTGTTTCTACTTATTTTCATAAGAGAAAGGGCCCGGCATGGCCAGGTGGTTAGGGCACTGGACTCGAAATCTCAGGGTCGCGGGTTCGAATCCCCGCCCCACCAAACATGCTCGCCCTTTCAGCCATGGAAGCGTTATAATGTGACGGTCAATCCCACTATTCGTTGGTAAAAGAGTAGCCCAAGAGTTGGCGGTGGGTGGTGATGACTAGCTGCCTTCCCTCTAGTCTTACACTGCTAAATTAGGGACGGCTAGCGCAGATAGCCCTCGTGTAGCTTTGCGCGAAATTCAAAAAACAAACAAACAAAACATAAGAGAAAGAATACGCTGTAAATTAAAGTCAATATAATATTTGAAAACTATAAACATTCTAAGTTTATTTCCGTTTTTTTTTTTCGCTTTTAATTTCATTTTTATGAAAATTTCTAATTTAGTGTATTACACATAAATAAAGTTTGTTAAACTCCGTGAAATAGTTAATGCTTTCTTTCTTTCTTTCTTTTAGAGCAAAGCTACATAGAGCTATCTGCTGTGTCCAACGCGGGGAATCGAACCTCATATCTTATTGTTGTAAGTCCGTAAAATTAACGCTGTTCCACCTGAGGACTAAACAACTAATGCTTAAACATACGTTCTTTTGAAAAATATTTATATTAATTTTATTTTTTATTACGAAAACATCAGAAATTAATGCTTGTTCTTAAACTGTACTATATTTTTTCTGGACTTGTTGGTAGAACAAGGATGAAACCACAGTCAATTCATCAAGTCCACTGAACCCTAGTGTTTAGTATTCAGATACTGAGAATCCGATAACTCATGGTTCGCGAACATTTACCAAAATATATGATCCGTGTTTGGGGTTCATGAACGCGCTATAACAGCGGCGGTGAAATACCATTATTCAATTAGACAAGAGTTGCTCAAGAGGTGGCGTTGTATGCTGTTGACTAGTTAGCTGCATACCTTCCTAATCTTTTAGATTAAATTAACGACGGCAAAACATAGTTAGGTGTTTTTGTAGATATTCATGAAATCCAGAAATAGATCAAGCATACGTAACTTTGTTATTAATGAAAATGTAGTTAATACCATGACAATCGTCAGATTCTGTTTTATAGTAGTTTCAAAGCTGTTTTTTTAAAGTTTAACCAGAATTTTATCTGTAACATAACTGTTTAAATTGCAATAAACTTGAAATTGCAGTAATGGAAATTACGGAAACAAAATATCCTTATAATGAGTTTCTTTGTTTATTACACTGTCTTACCAAACTGGGATCGATTAAATAAAGAAAGTTTGTTTATTTGAAGTTAAGCACAAAGCTACACAATGGGCTATCTGTGCTCTGCCCACCACGGGTATCAAAACCGCAGACATACCGTTGTGCCACTGGAGGGCAAATAAAGAAAGAAAAAGAAATACCTGTTCATAAACATCCTAAAAGTATCCTTTAAGCAATTAGAATCTAAATAAAGAAATAATGAAAATTTTAGAATTTTAAACTGTTTTGATTGGTTTAGTTTCTACATCTATTCGTCTAGTTATAGAAATACATAGACCTGCTATTATTGTAGTTTTCTTGTTTTTTAATATATAAATTAATAACTGTTTTTTTAAACAGTACACATTTTATAGATAAAATTCTCAAACATTTACTAACATTTTCTACAATCATACACAGAGGCCATAAAGTGAAACAATTTTTGTCTTACGATAAGTTGTTCTTCAGACAATGCTGCTATAATAAACTGTCGAAATGGTCGTTTCTAAGAAACTTTCTGCTTACGATGGAATGTCTGCATTGTTTAAATGAAATATAGTTGGGAATGAGTCTAGTAGTTAGTGTAGCGAGCTAAATATTCAAAGGATCAAGGTTCGAACCGTGATATGCTACTTAACATACTCTGCATTTTCAGCTGTAAAGATGGTTTAACTATGACAATTAATCCAACTATTTCATTTACAGTATTCGCATAGGCAGCAAGTACAGCTCGATGATTGTGTTCCTTCTTTTCAGCAATTCTAAATTTACAAAATTGGTATACCTGAACCTTAGAGGTCTCTGTCTTGGTTGGTATATCTGAATCTTACTTAGAGGTCTCTGTCTTGGTTGGTATACCTGAATCTTACTTAAAGGTCTCTGTCTTGGTTGGTATACCTGAATCTTACTTAGAGGTCTCTGTCTTGGTTGGTATACCTGAATCTTACTTAGAGGTCTCTGTCTTGGTTGGTATATCTGAACCTTAAAGATCTTTGTCTTGGTTGGTATACCTGAACCTTAAAGATCTTTGTCTTGGTTGGTATACCTGAATCTTACTTAGAGGCCTTTATCTTAGTTGGTATACTTGAACCTTAGAGGTCCTTGTCTTGGTTGGTATGCCTGAACTTTAGAAGTCTCTGTCTTGGTTGGTATAGCTGAATCTTACTTAGAGGTCTCTGTCTTGGTTGGTATAGCTGAATCTTACTTATAGGTCTCTGTCTTGGTTGGTATACCTGAATCTTACTTAGAGGTCTCTG